GTTACTAAATTTTACATTCATAATTGTATCACGGTGTCAAAGGATCGAATGATATAACCACTTCTTTCAATTCCACAAATATATGAATCGTAAGTGGGGAGATCAAAATTACATTGGAAAGCAACCAGTCGCATACATTTTGCTAATTTTGACGTAACATTAATTTAAATACGGCTGCATATCTTTTATGACTTTGAGCAAAAAATAAATGAATATATTGAGCAAATTCTAATTTTAGAATTAACAAATCATATGATACTCTAAATTTCACTAGTTCAGAAAACAAATAAAGGAAATACTAGACCGGTCAGCACAAATGGAGACAAATACTAAGTGCGTTTATCATGCTGTTACTCATTATTTCCCTTGAATGGAGCTAATTATAGCATCAATACAATATATGAAAACATCAGCTTTTCATCAACTTTATGGGTTCAATGTACTTAGGGGCCGTCGATAAATGACGTAACGCACGTGGGGGAGGGTGTCACACATTTGTGACGATGTGTGACGAGGGAGAAGGGGTGTTTCAGAAATGTGACGTCACATTACAATTAAAATGTAATCGTCTTTGAACTACCATCATCCCTACTAGCCCCAATAGTGCCTTATTTAGCATTCTTCCGTTTCCGGTCCGCCGGTGTCGACAAAGCCAGGTTAAAATAATCTTGTTCTCGCCAATTTTACTCCTGTAGTTTTAGCTAGAAGACGAATAGTTTGAAAAGAATTTTATGCCAATTTCAGCTTTCCATTCCTTCATTTTTAATACAAGTTTTCTCTGACTATATCAGAGTGCAGAGCCACAATAAATACATACTACAATGACAATAAAGTGATTTGAAACATGTTAATTTTCAAATAGGAAATACGTAGATCTTTGTGACGTCATATTTGAGGGGACAAACTTTTTGTGACGACGTGTGACGAAGGGTGGGGTGGGTAAAATATCGGCCAAAATCGCGTGACGTCATTTATGGATGACCCCTTTATATGTGTGAATGTGTATTCTTCTACCGGTATAACAAAGAGAATTTACAACTATAGATTCTAGAGGACGGGGAAGCAGTCAGAAAAACGTCTAACTTCTCGTGTAGACATGTCTTCATTAGTCACATGGAGTTGAAACAATCACGGAAGAGTCAACCATAGAAGCCATTCACACTGATAACTGTTTGCTGGTGCTTAAATTTAGTTTTCATTTTCTTTTATTACTGAGAAACTAAGCATTCAACAAGTGTAGTACCTCATCAGCAGGCAAAGCATTTGCTAAAATATAAAATATAAACAATGTCAGCTATGAAATAGTTGAAATAAACAACGGCTAAAACCTACATTGTTCTGAATTTAAACGTTTACTCAGACCTGATGCAAAACTTATGAAAAGCATCTGTAATAAAAAAGTGAACAGAACAAAAAAGACTAGAATGTAGAGGTATTTCACTCAAAACAACACTAGACATTTTACAAATTAAATTAAATCATATAATAACAATCATCATGGATCAACAACCACGACCACAACTGAGGAAAGCAAGAAAGAAAACAGGGTCAAAGTGTAAATTAACCTACTTAGTTATTTTAACGTCCAATTCACTTAGAATACATACATTTAAACTTATATTAAACAGTTGGAACAACCAAACAGCAACCTTTACTAATGAAATATTTAAAGTCAGTGAAGTAATATTAAGTAATCCGGTCATTTACAACGGGACGACTTGATTATATATAAGAAAGTTTATATGTTTGTACAATAAAATATAACATATACAGACATATACATTCAGGCAAGTACAACTGGTGAACGAAGAATACGTGGAAACTTTAGTAAAAACCCACAGAAAGCTACATGCAAACTTTCTCATCTGCCCACGCTGGCAAAGCCGAGACTCGAATCCACGCAGAGGTAAGATGGCAGTGATCGGTAAAGGGAAGGGCTTTAAACCACTCGGCCACCCGGGACCATTATATAATGTAACAAATGTTGAAAATACGGAACGCAAACTAGTTGAAATTTGTGAGAGAAAAAATGCACAAAAATATCACAGTTATATAAGAAAAGGATGCTCATCAAATACATGATATGATAAAGTGACCAAAATCTTCTCAATATCTGAACAGAAAAAATAAATACCATCACTTTAATATGAGATAACACTCAAGAATGTGAAGCTGATCCAATTAAAACCTGCAAAGAGATGAAAAACAGATACCATATAAAAGTCCGCAACCTGGTTTATGGTATCTTGAACAAGATAAAGGGTAAATGCAATCATATAAATATGGAGGCAATCACGGTGGCATTTAAACTTCGTTCATATTTTAGGCATAGCGTGGCTTCGAGCAATTATATGGTAAATTGTTGCCAGGCAACATTTTTACGATGCTCAGTTTAACATTACCCATCAGTTAAAAGAATTTCACATAATATGTTCCAAGACTGAAACTCAATAGAATTGACTAAATGAAAATATCGTAGACATGCATGCGAATGAAATAT